TGTGGGACCCACCGAAATAAAAAATGGAAAAAAATACCCACCCCAACATTTGTGAGTGTCTATCAATCAAACCACCCCCTATAAACCATAACCTGTATGAGTAGCATGATTGCTCATCAATAGCCCGTCCTAATACTCCGTACTCGTCCCTCCCTATGAATACAATATCTTTTCTCAAATCCAAATTCAGCATTGAACAATATCTAAGTGCAGACCGAATTTCCTCTCGAAGCTTCGGATAGGGTGGGACGATCTCAACCAATCCCTCTTCGATCTCAAAACCCGAATCCGATCACAATAACGTTGTTCAACTTTTAAACTCATCTAGAGAAGTGGCAAACAAGAGATTGACCAAGATAACATTGTAACGTGTCTATGCAAATTTTTGCACGATCAAGAAATTATAACATGTATAATTGTATTTAGTGCTACAAGACTATAATTTTCAGTTATTACACTTTTATTAACATATATTTTCAATCATATATTTCACAAGAGTCACTTTTTATCAAAATTTCAATCATACATTTCATTAATTTTTATCAAAATTTATAAAAATTTTGATTCTTATCAAAATCAAATAGGGATATGATATGGTAAGTAGTTTTGGAAAGGTTACGTGTAAATTCAAGTGCATGTTTAATCACATGCTTATGCTGGTTCTGATTTATTAACCGAAAATGTTATTTGCACATCATAATTTAGAGTAATGCTATTCATCCCTATTATGTTTACAAACACAGTTTAGATTGCGTTAATGTGACATTAAATGATATGTGAAATTAAATCAGTTATTTAATTTCACTTTTCATTTAACTTATCATTTATAGCCACCTAAACTGTATTTGTAACCCCACTGGATATGAATAACATTACTCCATAATTTATAGATTGATATACAGAAAGATGACGTGGATGAGAGAGAGAGAGGTCACTTAGAAATAAATTCATATAATTCACATCAACATCCCGTAAATCATGATATATAAATAATATTACTTTTAATTAACAAAGATTGGTTCTAAAAATGCGATGGGGTACAAAATCAAATTTTCATTTTAGAACCTTTTTTTTTTTGTAAATTTCCATATTAGACAAATACCAACAATAATATTATCCATAAACAAAAGTCAAGACAAATTATGCTAGTGGTATATCACCACTAACATAAGAGTGTCCATAATGGACACCGGCGCCCCCTTATTGGAGAGAGTGCCGACCCCACCGACCTTCCCTCCAATGATGTAGCACCGATGGACACCCCGATGTTAGTAGTGATGTACCACTAGCATCTCTCAGTCAAGACATAGATATGATTTGAATTTAAGCCCTTGTTTGGAAAGAATTAAAAACATTTTTTTAAAATAAATTTTGATAAAAAAAAGTTGATGAAATATTTGATAAAAAATAATTGTAACTTATATACTTTTAATTCTTTAAAAAAAAAAATAAAAAAATTGATCTGCTTTAGGACATCATTAGTCAATATAAATCAAAATTTTAAAATTTTGAAATTCAAAATTATGAGGGTCCCTTCGATACGGATAATTCTCAATTGGGCCCCATATCCACCAGAGCGGCCCCACACTCACTCCCATAAACCGCTTTGCAAATCATTCTTCTTTCTTTTCTTTTTTTTTTTTTTTGATTTTTTGATTTCCCGCCCATACACATACACGCGTATATACACGCACTTCTCACACGCTCTCTCCGAAAACTTCTCTTTTCTTTCAGTTAATTTTGGTTCTCTGAAATTTCAGAAATCTCTATGGAGGACTCGGCCACCACCAAAGTTCAATCCCCTGCCTCGGGTATATTTTAATTACTTCTGCATTTTAATTAGGGTTTTATATGACTTTATGTATCTGTATGCGATTTTATTTTTTTATGTCAATTTTACAGTGAATGCTGGCAAATCATCTTTGAAACTCCTTCGTTATCCGCTTCGATCATCTATGAAATCTAAGGAAGAGAAGCACCCGGCTGCTGATTCTGCAAACTCCTCTGTCTCCAAGAGGTCTCTCTCTTCATTCCTTTATTTGTGCGCGTGTTGAGTGCTTAATGTTATGATTCTTTTACGAGTTTGGAATTTAGTGGTCAGAATTAATTTTTTTTACTTTAACTCGAATCTCCGTTCTAAAGTAATTTGGGGTTTTCATTTGACTGTTAATGTAGGATTCAACCGTAGAATGATTGAAGAGAGTAAATAATTATTGTATTTTATTGGTGATTTTTTCTTCCGTGTATTGTGATTAATTATGTCTTCAGAATCAAAGAAACGGATTTATCATCCCAAAAATTTCGGAAAATAACATTTTTTTTTTCTTTACCCCCACAACTAACGAGAATTATTTTCTATTTTCTGTGTACATTTTTATTGGACTATAATGAGAATCCCAATCTTACAGTAAAAATTCTTGTGAATTTTAAGATGGACACTTAGGGTCCTTTTGATTGCAAGAATGAAATTTGGATGGAAAGAAAGTGAATTCTATGGAATTGAATTGCCTGAAACTTGTTTTACTAAGAATTGTCAATTAATTGTGTTTGATTGTTATAATTTTCCATCTGAAAAATATTGAAATTTTGAATTTTTTAGTGTTCGTTTGACTTTATTTTCCGTAGAAATTATCCATTGAATGGATATAATTTGTTTCCATTGTCAAAAAAAAAAAAAGTTGCCTAGAAAATGTTTCCTATCAAACACTCTAAAAAGTGAAAAATGATAAAAAGTTTTCCATCTTCCATGGAAAACTTGCCCTATCAAACAGGGCCTTATTGAAAAAATTCTTTAATTTTTATTTTTAAAATATTTGTGATTGTTGGCTCTGCTATCTATTTAGGATTTATATTGAAGAAGCATCGTACAAGTTTTTTTTTTATTTTTTTGCATTTCTCTAATCACAAAAATCAGCTTCCCAATATATTTTCTCAATAAAAGTTTTGTCCTGGGATTATGAGGCTTCTCACAGCTTAGCATAAATGATTTTCCCTTTCCTTCTCTCGGTTCGTTATCTCTATTCCAGTCCAGAAAATGCAGAACAAAAACATTTACAAAAAACTTCTTTGGAAAGCATGCAAATATTATTAAAGAAGCACTAGTTTCCCGCTTTTTGTAAAGTTTTAGTAATTGGATTGTCTAGCAGAAGTTTATTCTACTATTAAGCTCTGATGTATATGTCCAGGGGAAGACCTGCATCAAATGTGAGTAAGAGCGTGGCTGTTCTTGATTTCTCTGGCAAGGAGAAATCTGCAAAGCCGCCAAGAAGACTGTCTGTTCCTTCCAAGTCTTCTGCCAGCCCTGCTCCAAGATCAGTTGGCAATATTACCCCAATTTCTGAGGCTAGAGTGAAGAGGTCTGCAGCCAACCAAGGAAAGAGTAACACATCAGTTTCTGATGTTTCTTTATCATCAAGTCGAAAGAAATTCTGCGTTCTATCATCATCTTCTTATTGGCTATCTCAGATTAAGCTCTCTGAATCAGCTTCAAAGCACAAAATATCTCTTGGCTTCTATAAACTTGCTCTAGAGGCCGGATGTGAGGTATGGTTATTTTCCACCTTTGTCTATCTAAAATTTTGACATTGTCTCTTTAACCTCTTAAAAGCATAGAATGCTAAATGATAACTTTCACAAATGATGAAAGTTTGAGATGTGTTTGAACTTTGATCATAACCTTGGATAGGATTCATTTTATATATGTAGTTTTTCAATATTATGAAGCACAATAATTGAGTTTTGACCCCAAAAAGAACCTCTAGATATAATTACTCTGAAGGTTAATAACAAATACTTAGCTTGATGAGATTAGATATGGAATCCTTTATGATGAACTTCCTCTGAAATTAGGCACTAGTTAACAATATAGTTACTTAATGTTCTCCAGTTCTTGGAAAATCAATAAGTAAACAAAGAACTAGAGGAACATGTCGGGAAACTAATATAAAATAAGCTGTATATGAAGTTATGCCTGTCTTTGGGCATTTTGAAGACAAAAACGTCATGTGAAGTACCAAGGGCAGCCAGGAACTATTTATTTTTTATGCACTTACATTTCTGATCTTAAAGTTGTTTGCATGAGTTCAATCTCAAATATTTTGGACCTAAATTATAGCTCAAGTGCTGACCTTCTCCTTTCGTGTTTTAAAACAATGTCCTAAGCCTCTGCAGAAAATAAGGGATGAGCTTAAATCCTATGTGTCTCGCTATGACCTTTCTGAACTTGGAGAATCCGTGAAAGAGCTGTTTGAGATCTATAAGATATCTGAGAATTTTGAGCAGTTGCAAGCCTCTGACACTGGTCCTCTTGTGCCTGAAGAAGGAAATCAATTATCTGATGACGATGTTAACAGCTCTACTTCTTCAATAACTGATGCTGAGAAGCTGAAGCCGAATAGATCAGATACAGATGCTGGTGAAATTCATGGATTACAAGAAACAAACAAGGAAATTAGTAAGAAGAATGAATCTGTTAATAAGATCAAAAGATCAGTGAACAAGGATGTGACAAACTCAAAATCTTCTTCAGAAGTTCGGGGCCGTAATAGTACCCAAAAGAATCCCAAGAAACCAACGAAGCAAGAATTAGCTAAAGATCGGGATAAGTTGAAGAAGCAGGGAAAGAGATATACTGCTGGAGAAGGTAATTGTGTATCAATTCCTGTTTTCTCACACTACTTCCATTACTCTCTCCATTAATTTAAATAATACCCTTTTTCTAAAGATGTTTCAAAACAATGACAACTATAAATAGACACACTTGTTATGGACTGTTTTATTTGTTACAGGTCCAATTCCCTCTTCACCGGAGAAAACACTTCAAGAGAACAAAGAAAACCTTGTAAGAAATAGTTCTTTTATTTATATTCGTTACTTTAAGAGTCAAAATTTTCCAGCATTATCTTTCCTCTTCCTTAGGGTCACTATTAAATTTTGCGTCTTTCAGGATGTTCCCCAGATGGAAATCAGTGCAACAGAAGTGTAGGCAAACCACTAAAGCTTGCTGAAAAAATAGTAGCCTTGTTTGGCTTGTTATTTTCATTAGAATTTTTTTCCTTTTGGATTTTATAGAATACTGAATGGTCTAAGGTGGGCATATTTGTTAGGTGTGATTTGTGAATTTTGTAATTTTCTTGTGTGTTTATGAATTATGTTATGGATCTTTATGTATTTGTGTTTTGTGCGTTAATATTTTGGTACTCGACGAAAAGTATATTACTATAAGGTGAGCAAATGAAGGAGTTTCACATGTTTGGCTACACATTTTTCCTGGAAAATATTTTCCTTTTGTTTCTGAGGCAAATCAATGTAAAAATTCTAATTCACACACTACATGATACAGAGTTTTACAAATCCAAAAGTTAAGACAAGCATTATCTAAGGGACAATTTTTTTAGGAATAAAGTTTTCAAACTCTGAATTATTTCCCTGACTACACTATGCACTTGGGAATCAATCTCCCGTGCGCTATGATTATACTCTCGCTTATTCTCATCGAGCACTCTAGCAGTTTTAGAATTTGCAGCACATATTGTCAAACTAGTCGCACAGATTCATTGTATAACTAGTTTAATTCTTATTATGTGATTCAAACCCAAATTCCAACATCATATAATGGACTCCACTGATTCTGAATAATGACCAGACATACTACCGTCTGCGTATACTGATCAAATCTATAAGGTAATTTGAAGTCCAAGGTAAAGTGACGTTTACAATAAATTCAAGTTTTAACGAGGAAAATGGTAGCATCTTCATCTACTGTTTGAATGGAACATCCGAGAGCCAAATCTCACTGTTGGTGGCTTTTTCAGGGTAATCTTCACTGAATTAAAGTGTCAACTTGAACATACCTGACATGCTCAAAAAATATTTTGTAACATCTATAGCAGATAGCCTTATGCAGACATTTGTTTTTGAAAAGAATATGTGATTCTATTCAATAAGTAGATCTTTTCAATTTTATTTTTTATTAGGGACAAGATATTATATGTTGCAGCGAATAAATTGCAGCATCATAAAAATATATAAAACCAAACAAGACAATATCAGATTCTACCTAGCCAAAGCTAAAATGTGTTTTTTCCTTTCTTCCTAGATTTTACCCACTCTTTTCCACATACTTGGGTAGGGTTTTGAAAGCTCTAAATCCATAGGCTAATCATACTCCTACAATTTTATGAGACTGAATTTGGTTTTAAGTTCCTCAAAATTTCAAAACTGACAACAGAGCCATGATTCTTTTTGTACTATTCTGTCTTAATCTCAAGCATCATGCACCCGGATATAAAGGCCCTCTTACAAGAGGGGGCCCATGATTTTTTTTATTGCCCGTGATCCCCCATCTTGTGAGGGGACTGTACACGGATTTCCCTAATCTGATTTCTCGATTGGAAATACAAAGCCAAAAATAATCACCAAGTTTAAACGTTGTCTTGCCAATATAATTATTAAAGTCATGAAACATAATGCAGAACCTTCATTCATGATTCAGTTCATTTTATTATGAAAAATTATACTACAAAAGACTGGCCATAAGAATGACTCACCTCCATCCCAAGGTGTCATCAGGGGTGCAACCCACATCAGAAAAGAAACCAAAAACGGCTTACCCAATTATACTTAAAAATCACCATAAGTAGAAGAGAAGAAATAAACAAGAATATAGACACAATAAATCACAAATAATAGCATTTAATTTTGATGCAAGAAGAATGCTGAAACTCAACCTTATATGACTGCACTCCAAAGCATAATATTATTTTATTAAGTATTTGCTATTCGTACTCCGGGTTGACACCCCAATCCACAACCAATAAAAAAAATCGTGAACCCTCCTATTGTGAGGAGGGTTGTACACCGAGTAATCACATAACAAAACCCGTATTGTTATCTTCGGGGTGTGCCACTGATACCTGCAGGTAGATCCTACTGTAACCCCTTGAAAGCATAATATTATTAGGCTGGGTTTGATTACTTCCATTTTCCATGGAAAATGGAAAAAGAATTCAATTTTCCAACAAAATCTATGTTTGATTGGCATAAAATGGATGGGAAAAAATTTTCTTGGGACAGCCTCCACGCACCTTTTTCTTCCAAATTGGTGAAATCCAACCAGCCGTCATTTTTGACTTGATTTTTTTATTTTTTTTTTTAGCAATAGNTAAAAAAAATAATTTTTTAGGAAACATTTTTATTTTACTTTTTGATAATGGAAACAAATTTTATAACCAAATGTAGAAAAAATTATCACTTTAATGGACAATTTTGATGCAAACGAAGGCCAAACGAACACAAAATTTAAAAATTTTTCGGGTGGAAAATTATACCAATCAAACACACATAATTAACAATTCCCTGCAAAACAATTTCTAGTCAAGTACTTTCCCTAAAATTCATTTTCTTTCCACCCATTTTCCACCATTCCTATTAAACGGACCCTTAATTCAACCATCTATGCCCATGTTTTGTAAAAATCAAAATTTTAATTTTAATTTAAGTCGAAGTCAACAATTAATTTTAAAAATATATTTTATAGGATTCTCAACAATTTAACCACACTTTCATGAAAATCTACTATAAATCTAATTTTAATTCACACCAAATAGTGACATAATAAACTAGGGGTATATTTTTAACTTTCCAACTTTAAAAATTAGTAGGGGTATCTCTATCATAGACTTTAGTACAAAACAAATAAACTGCTGGTTTTTCGACTTTTCTTCACCATCAGTCAACATTTGTCATGCACAATTTGCATAATAATAAATCATAATCTAACATATGAGATTTTCATCTCGATGAAATACTACATTAACTCGTATAATTATTTTTGAATTGTTTATGATATGCTATTTCAATATTTATCATTATTTATGATTTTAAGTTGTGATTAGCTTTTGTTTATATATGATGTTACAAATCTAGGTTATATGTTGCATTATTAAAATATATAACAGAAACTACACATTTCCATTATTTCCAATTTTTTTTTTCAACTATACATTCTTCAATAAAATAGTATTACACGCAAATCCAAAATTTTTCTTTAATTTTTAACCGCATATTCTATATCAATCTACTATATATTCTAAAATGCATTATTCAATAAAAAAAGGGGGCTCAAACAGGTTCTAAATATAAATATAATTTTTTTTCAAGTAATATGATTCCTTTGCACGGTGATTTAATAAAAACATTAATTTAATAGATTTTATATTATATTAAAATAAAATATTTATTATGAAAGATAAATTATGAGATATATAAGAAATAATTAATGTTTAGTCAATTAAACAACAATTACCAAATGGATCCTTAGCTCTTGTTTGAGTCTCATTCTTTAAAAGTTCATTTTCTTCTCAAATTAGAGTCCCAATTTTTAAAAACTCATTTTTTTTTTATAAAACTTATTTCCAACCGCACATTCTCCTAGTAAATAATTTTGTACGTAAATTCAATTTTTTTTAAAATTTTTTAACCACACATTCTAAAAAAAATCATTATATACAACATCTATTCTCCCAAAAAATGGAGCTCAAAATCGTTGTTAGATCTTTAGGTACTGAATTCTCCTAGTTTTCTATTCTTATGTTTTGAAGTGCTGAATTTCCTTCCTCTAGTCCTGTACCCATTGTTAGATTAGTGTAAAGTGATGAGTTTTGTGGCCTTTTATTTCTTGTTGGATTATTTTTTAGTGATGAGTTTCATCATAGTTGTATCCTTTAGATATTTCTAATTGGATGGTTAATTATTTTGTGTATTACTATAAATTTTCCTTGGATCATACGTGAATAACTATATAATTGTTGTTTTTCTACTTCTGATACTAGGGGCTCTATCATAGACCTCATTACAAAGTAAACAATGCAAAATACAAATAAATAAATAAATTGTTTTTCACCATAAGTCAACATCTATGTGCCCAATTTTCTTTGTCATACATCATTCCACGCACAACTTGCATAAATTGAAGCCACAATCTAATGATAGAAGTCACAATCTAACACACAAGATTTTAACCTCATATGGTCGACTATTGGAGTACATTAATGAATCAAAAATCGACGTAGTCATATATATGTAAATGCAATTAGATTAAATGATCTCTGTCGTGTGATTTGTCCAGAAAATTCAGCGCACATTTGTTCGCGTTTGCGGCTGATAGAAAACTAGACAGAACAGGAAATGGCTCGCTTGACTTAGTATTTTGGCTAGATTTATTGTCGGCCAAGGTTTGATTTCCCTGCTGGGCACTGCCAGATCCAATGACTGATGTTAGAGCAGCTGATAATGCAGACTGGAATCTCGGGTTCAACGTAATGGCTTTAGTTGCAGCAGCAATGGTATCTTGTGATGATAAAGATTGCCAATGAAGAGTTTCTTGAGGTTGTGCTCCAAAGTTAAAAGAACAAATTTGGTTCTTGTTGGAACAATGTTGATTTCCGTAGTTATGGATCCCGTTAGTCCAAGAAATTGGGAAAGCATTTGTATCCAAAGAAGTAAAGTTGAAGTTTGTAGTTGAATGCGTTTGAGTAAAATTATGTAGTCGACTTAGATGAGACAACGAAGAGGATGGGAATGATGTTGGAGTTAGATCGAGGGTGATTGATGGGCACAAAGGCGAAGATGAGATTGGTGAATTTGGGTAGTAAAAGTTAAGTCCATTGAAATTTGTCCCTGAAATGGAGGTTTTTGAACCTGAAATTAGCATGGAGGCAGCGGCCGAGGTGGTGGAGGCCATTGCTGTGGCTGAAACCGGAAGTGGATGGTTATGTATCCCTTCGTATGTTAACAAGATGGACATGTTGTCTACACATCTTTGCACCTACAAGTGATATCAAGATATTATGAGGTCTAGTGTAGTCCATCACTAGATTCACTAAACCAAATTAGCCTTTCTATAAAGTAAAAAAGATAACAAATGAATTCCATCACTCATTATACCTGTTTTCTCACTGGGCAGGATGGTGCAACAGCGCAACGATAGTATGCTCTTGGGCGTGGGTTTCCTTTCGAAATCTTCTGTCCATATTTCCTCCATCGGCATCCATCATCCATCTACATAATAACGGCAAGTTTAAGTGTCACCATAACTCAAATGCTATAATTTCGTAAATACTAATACACTCTATTGAGTTATATAAATTTTATATTTCTGTCACGTTACAGCGAAATAGTATTAGGCTATATAAAGGGTTTCAAATTTTACTCGTTTCCATTACTTTAAGACACGTTTCATATGTCCCTTCCTTTCCTACTAAAAAATACACGAGGTAGAAATCAATCTCAAACGGCTCAGAAAAGGGAAAAAAAATTATATATAAACTTACCGTTGGTGTGTCACATCTGACTCTTACGGAAACCCTAGGTCTTTTCGTCAGGTTTTGTAGGGAGACCTCATGCTCTCTATTTTTCACTGTGTTTGGGAATTTATTTTGTGGCCAGATCTTCATGGCTTCCTTCTTTACTTCTTCTATGCTATTCTCAGAGCTCAGATTATTCGTAGAAGACTCGGCCGGGGTTGTTTTGGGCCCTTTAAACTTGCAGATCAATCCAAGAGCCAAACCTGCTTTATCTTCTCCATCCACTTTTCTTTTGGTTATTGAGTATGTTTTATCATTTTTTCTGTCACTTGAACTTGATATTCCTAAGCTAAGAGACATAAGTTCAGATCCTTCTGTATTTTGATGAATATTAACTGCAGATGCACTTGTAGATTTTTTAGGTTCTTGTTGAACAAAATCTTTGTATTGCATCTGTAGAGCCCTGTAATCCTTCAGAATTAATTCCAAATACATTTTCAGCCTTTGATTTTCTTCTATAACTTTACCCATTTCAGCTTTCTTCCTTTCAAGTCGATAATCCTACATTTATAACAGTTCAAATTTTTAGACGAGGTGGTTCATGGATAATCGGTCAATTATAATACACTTGCTGCATTAATTTCAAGAAAGTTTACCTGAAGAACAATCTTTTCTGCAGAACCTCGTTCATCACCATCAGATTCAGCTGCTTTATTCTCTTCCTTCACCATTTCACCAAGATCAGCTTTTCTTAAACCAATCTCCATGAGATCTCTCTCTCTCTCTCTCAATTTTTTCCTATGTCATTTGAATGGCACTTTAGTGATATTCTTATAACGGAAGCCAGCAGTGTTTGTCTTGTTAATTAACTAATTCAAACACTGTGGCTTTATTCAGTACACAATGTCAATATCCCAATTGCGCCCAAGTCCCACAGAAAAATATATAACAATAAACAATATATTTACTGTCATACTCATACTCATACTCATATACAGATATAAATACAAAATTTATATAATTGAATATTTCAACTTCAACCATTAGTTGCTTGAAAGATAGAGAGAGCCAACGAACATACCGATTCAGCCATCATTGAAGTTTCGTAGATTTCGAAAGTCAGATGGTCAAATATTTTGTGGATTCCGATGACCGGACGTATCAACTTGGAATTGCTTGGTCTTGTAAGTGGTTGTAACCAGTCAATTTTCTTCAAATACATCTTTTTCTAATAGTGACATTGACCCTGAACAAATATCAATGTTTTAAAATTCCGGCTGGCATCGATTCAAGAAATGTAAAGGTAAAGTATCAAATGATCAAATTATTATATAATCGAAGTTGAACGGTTGGTAAAAAATATCAAAAAAGATAAAAAGTTGAGATGAATTGCCTGGTTTTAGCGTAAATTCGCTAATTCTTGATGTGACTAGTTGTTGACTTTTTAAAACAAATTTTCTTACTTTTTTTATTGAACTAGTTTTCATTTTTTTCGTGTCATATTGATGGCCTGTTTGGTAGGAATTAAAATAGCTAAAAAAATTGCTTTTCCTACCGTTAACTATGAATTCAGCCGCAGAGTTTGACTTAACATCTCACAAGCGGGTCCCACTGACCAAACCAAACGGTCACAATTTTGATTAGAATTCACCAAAATACATACCAGACACCCTGAGTCTGATTTTGCCAACATCGATCATTTGAAAACTCAATATTGGCACGGTAATGAGTTTATAATTCTTTTTCTTATTTGACTTCCTATATTCAAACTAAAATACATTTTTTTTTCAATTAGTTCTTTTCTACCTAATGGTTTCATTAATTCAGCATCCATCGCAGAGGATGAATATATTTTGGATGAAACCACCAATCACCTAATAAACATTTTGCACATTAAAACCAAGACATTTGATTAAAAGATGAATCCATCCTTTGTGGGTGCACATGTTGAATATTAAAAATTCACTTAAATAATTTCTTCCCTCAACCAATTTAGACAGTTCAATAATTTATAAGAAATGGTTATACTTTTTTGGTTTTGTTTTTTCCCTACAGGACAAACTCAGGAGAATTATCTACTTTCCCTTCATATTTGATATTTTTTAAAGATTAATTCAGACAGGCAGCCTTCTGACATTCATTGTAGAACAAAGAAAGAAAAAATAAAATAATCTGTCTACATAATCATAGTTATATGCTAACACTCATTTTTTACAGTGCAACTTAGAGAGTTAGAGTGCCAGCAAATTGTGTAAGCTTACGTCCCAGGTTTTGGGCTGACCATAACAGGACCCCCAACAAACTTGACATTAGGGTCTCCGGATTGTATGAAGAAGGCTCCATTCATCATCACATCACCCAAATTTTCCACACACTGTGGGGTGCATATTCCCTCCTTGTCACATACACACCAGAATCATTAATCAGCTGACAAAACATTTGCATTTTTAATGTGTTCGCTAAGGTGGATAGGACATTATCGAACATTAAGGAAAGAAAAGGAGCAAAATTATTGTATATTTGAATTGTATGGAGCTTGTCATATGTTCACTTATCCTGTGGGCAAATGGATGCAACTATTCTACAGACAGTGAAGCACTATAAATCCGTGTGTGCTTTGCATTCTTCTGATTTCGTTTTACTTTTCATTACTTTCATAATTAAGATTAGGGCTTAATTGCAAAGACGCGTTGTGTAATATTGTTCACCAAACATACTGCTAATGCTCGATATGCTTACCTCTTTGGCAAAAGCATCTGGTGGGGGCAATTAAGCGATTGCCCTGGCTAAGTATGGTTGAATGTTGGCTTCCACCGATGGCATACATGAGCCAGTGAGTATAATCATTGTTAAGTACATGTACAAAACCCCATCTCACTCTAGGCATTCTTTTTACTTTTTTTTTTCCTTTTAATTATTTGCTTCCTTCTACGAAAAGTAGAGTAATATGTGAAAAAGTTGGTTAATTTGTACTGGGATAAGGGCATTGTTTAAATACCACAAGTAGAAAATCTAACTGGAAGGAAAGGGAACAAGGAATGATGAGAATCTGAGAGTGAAGTATGGGAGTTAAATGTTTTATTGGCCACCGAACTTTTCACCATGTCACGGTTTACTCACTAAACCTCCAAAATTTTCACTGACATGGAAGACGGAAATCTGATCTAACTAGTTAACTCCTTCCAAATTTTAATTGTATCTCCAACTCAACGCCACATCACAAAACCAAACACGCCTTTATCGACATTTAACTCCTGAAATGCATCTCTTCCCAATTGAATCAAAACCGCCAAATCCTTGAAATCCAGAAATTCCCAAATCAATTTTTGTCGATGCTCCACTCCAAATCCTTGAAATCCACTTGACATTCGAAAAGCCTTCTTTTTGGGCATTTTAGGAATTGCAAAGTTTATTTTCAGATATATGGAGCTGTGGGTACTGGGTAGTATGATTTTTGGTTTTTTAAGCTCAATGAGACAAAAGGGTAACAAACACTTGACTAATTCTGTTCATCGCCTAATCTTTTTCGAACAACGAATTCCATGTTCCTTAAGCATTGAATCTAGCACGCGTCGACTTTAGATTTGGTTTTAACAAAATTAAATGGCTTTTACAAGAGTAAACAAAGCAAAGAACATTCTCCTCTCACAAGAAAGTATTCTCTTCTTTGTACACTTCCGGTGGTTGGCTTTACTGTAAAGTTAATAGGTTTATCACATTATCTATAAACTTTATATTATTCACGAGGAGTTTATTCGCTTTATCTTCATTCAAAACACCCTTTAATTAATATGTAAATCAAAATCATTTTCTTAAATATACGCAAGTGAGCTACGATAATTGATGCATGATCCAACAAGAACAATTATAAGAGAAGGGGAGAAGGAATAGAGGAAGCTAGAAAGAGTGAGATAATAGAGAGAAATTTGAGAAGAAATGTATTAATTTTTATTAATTCAAAGTTGTTCTGAATACATCGCATAGTCCTCTTTATGTAGGGTTTTAAAGGATCATATTCTAAGTAAAATCTTTTATAATACTGCATCAATAACATATAAGAATTTTTTTTTATTGAAACTTTGTCTACTCTAAATAACCTCTTCTTAAAGTAAATGAAATGTACTCAACACAAACTTTGATGATTCTCAAAATCCAAATAAAAAAGTTTGGAATAGAATAAAACAAGATCATTCAAGAAAAGCTATTTCAAAGTGGAACAGAATATCAACAACCCTAACACCAAGCTACCAACTTTCTGGATTAGAATAAATAGCCCTATCATTTATATTACAAATTAATTATTTTCTAAATATTACATCAGCGATGGAGGGCAGAGCCAAAGGTCTTGATAAGAGAGAATCGAGTCTGTTGTTTAGAGAGATTGTGCCCCCTCATGGCTGGGCTGAAGATGAAAATAATCATTATTTGCGGTTAACTCTTCCTGGTATCAGAAATTATTTATTATTTACCATTCAATTTTTCAGATTTTTTCTTCAATTTCTCTAACTAATTTTTGCATATTCTGTAGTTTGATTTTGACACAAATACAAATTTTAGGTTAAAAATTGATGGAATGTAGGTTAAAATGTTGTAGATTTCATAAAATATGTGGTTAAAACGATTTGTTGACCTTGACTTAAAATTTAATCAAAACTTTCGATTTGTAATTGTCCAAACGGAAGTAACGATTACTAAGGCCTCGATCCAATATATACTTGGTTTTTTTTTTTTTCCTTTCAAAATATTATACGAGTTGTTGTTTTCATTAAAAACAACTAAAACTCTTACAAATTCGACGAACATTACTATCTAAATTAATATATTTCCTTATTTCAGGGTTCAAACAACCGGATGTGACGCTTCAAATCGACAAGTATGGCCATCTCGTGGTACGTGGGGAGAGACAATTGAGCGGACACAAGTTTGTTTCCTTTCATGAAACTTTTAACTTGCCTAAAAATATAAATGTTGAAGAGACCAGTGGAGAATTTGAAGATGGTGAGATTTTTTGCATCACTTTTCCAAAGCTATCAGAAATAGAACAACGTCGTATGCAACCAGTACGAGATCGATACGACTCACATAACATCAGGGTACCCAAAGAGCAACAACCCTACTCAACCAACATTGATGGAAAATCAATGGGAAGACCTGGATCAAAGCGTGATAATGCAAATGACTCCAATAAGCAGAGCACGAAAAAGCGTGACGAATTTATTGATCCAGAAGTACCAAATACACCCAAAGGGAAAATTGCGTTGGATACTATAGAAAGTGATGAGAAGTCGAAGACGAAAATGTGGGTTCTCATAGGGTTACTTGTAATTCTACTAATTGTTGTTGTTGTTCCCATATCAGTAAAGTTACACAAGTGATAAAGTTAAAGATAATATCATAATAAATTAGTAAGAGCAATGCTTGGTGTACAGAAAATGTTTTTACAGAAAACTTACCTACACACACATTGGTGGGTCCCGCATCAATAAAAAAAATGCCATAACATACACCCACGCACCCTGCCATTGTATCTGCCGATAAATTTTACAGAAGAAAAATTTTCTATACAAATGAAATTCTCCAATTAATAATAAGCATAGAATCATGATAATGATTTATTGGAATAATATTGTGACATATTATACATATATACTCGTTATGGAAATAAAAGTTTGCATAATTAAATTGATACCTTTATATATATGATAATTTATATCTATATCTATGTATTCTACCTGTATATAAAAATTCCGTAAACTGAAAGGTTTTGTTCCGAGTAAAATTTGGAAAAAGCTGGACAGATAGGCTCACTTTTCATGTATTGATTTGACAATAACAATAATAATAATGGTCGAACTAATTCTGAAAATAGATTCAAATTGAGATTTGAATAGCAGCCCCGTACCTGTAAAAAACCTTACTCGGTTAGATTCTTGGATTTGATGCGGAATGAGAATATTGGTGTTGCGGAATTTAAGACTTTTAGTTTAATGAATCAAGTCTCTGTTTCACAAATTTATAAATCAATTTATTTAGATTTAAACTTTATTTTAACCATACATTTCCACTCGACTAAATAAACTTAATGTAACATTAAGCTTAAAACTACTGATCTCTTTTTTACCAAGTTTTTTGGTTGGGAAAAATTCATAGATACGACATTAAGGGTTCGTTTGATTGCAATAATAGAATTTGGGTGGAAAGAAAATGAATTTCAGAGAATTGAATTGCCTAAAATTGTTTTCTTGGGAATTGTCAATTAATTGTGTTTGATTAGTATAATTTTCTACGTAAAAAATATTAAAATTTGGATCTTTTTGTGTTCATTTGACTTTGTTTTACATGAAAATTGTCCATTAAAAGGATAAAATTTGTTACAATTGGGAATATAATTTGTTTTCATTGCAAAAAAAAATTTTTTTTTTTTAAAAAGTAAACTGGAAAACCAAATCCCACCAAATTGGTGGGAATTAATTTTCATCAAAAACAAGGAATTGGAACCGTGTGAGCAAAAATCAAGAAAATTTAGTGTATCAAAAATGAGTAAAGTAGAAGTTGAAATTTCTTTTCCATA